TCAAGATTTAATTTTTGGCCTGTTTTGTTTTTAAGCTCTGTTTTCCTCTCTACAGCTCTGTCCTTCCTGTATTAAAAAACAAACATATAAGAAAAGTTCAGGGTCTCTTCTTGGCCTGAGTATCTGTGTGCATGCATGGCAGAAGAACCCACCAGTGGTGAGGGTGTTGGGCTCCACCTCTAGTCACCAGAATGGAGATGGGTAAACAGTGGGCGTGTCAATGACCAGATACCAAAAAATGAAAAATAAAATCAGAACAAAGCAAAACTGACAAAGTGTATTGTCCACCTTTGCCCCAAGTTTCCTGCGGTGTTTCTGCTCCCTCTGCTTGGTCTCCCCCAAGTTGTCAGGTCCGGGCCTCCAAGGCCAGCCTGGCAGATTCAAAAGTACGTATTTTTTTACTTCATCTCCAATTTCTACAAGCTCTAAGCCTTCAAACTTCTAAAATATCCCTATTTCTGTGGTTGTGAGATTTGGAGCTCTGCCCTGGATCTGCTTTGCCTGGTATTCTGTGTTATTGCTGACGGTGAACTTCACTGCACCTCCACCCTAGCCACCATCAAACCCTGCCTCACCATATATAAGTTTTGCCCTCCATGTATACACAGTGAGGAATAATTTTGCATATCTTTTAAAAAGAATTTTATTTTTTAGATCATGAAAAACAGTGTATGTAGGAAAGGAAAATGTCTTCTAGAACATTTCTGCTACCCCTTTAAAAACAGATGCATTAAAAATATGGAACTATTATTTATTAATGAGAAAAGAGCATAGCTGGCCCTTACCTTCACACCAAGGATTGAAGAGGATGTAAGTGTCGGTTTCTGGGTTTCGGATGGTGCGGAGTATGCCGTAGGGGGTCCAGATTGCAACATACATACGGAACTTCCCCACTATGCATTCTGGGGATGACTGGACAGAAAGCCGGATGGACCTATCCTCTCTCATGATAATTTTGGCACCCCACTTTCCCCTTTGGTGCTCTGGAACCACAGGAACGGGGATGTAGGTACCCTTGCTTTCCTGAGGATAGCGACCTATATGGAGGAAGAACAAATAAATACATGTTGAGTAGATTTCTCAAACAACTTTTGTTTACACGCTGTCATCTTCTGGCTGAAGGGGGCAATGCTTCATTAAGCTTGAAATCATAAAGGTTGGCTTTGGTTTCTACTTCTGCTACCAACTAGCTATATGATTTTAGCCAATTTTTCTATCTTCTTTGAGTCTCAAATTTGTCAAGTCTACAAAAATGATAGAAATATAACAACAAATAAATAGGTTTTTCATTACTTCCCAGAAATTCTATCCTCTAAAGAATTAGAAATTACTTTATTGAATAAAAGTAAATTGAGTCACACAATATGATTTTCAGGGCCATTGGACTTTTGTTCATTCTGAATATATTTTCTATGTTTTTGTTGTTAGTGCTGTCAAGTTGGTTCCAATTCATTGTGATCCTGTACAGGATTTCCAAGGAGTGGCTGGTGAATTTGAACTGCTGACCTTGCAATTCACACAGATCTTTCACTGCAGTGCTTATCGTATAGTACCATAATACTATAGTACCTATAGTAGGATTGTACTTCTAGGTTGTACCTGTAACTATTATCCAATTAATCCTAAAATGTGTTATTGCCAATTCCATTAGAGATTTTGGCTGATATCATAGGCAAATGGTAAAACTTTAGGTTCTAGGGATTAATTATCTGGTTTTGAGTCTTGGTTCTGCTACATCTTACCCAGGTAACCGATGGCTAGTTACTTGACATTTAAAAAGACCCATTTCTTTCCATAGTCCTCATCAGTAAATGAGGATAATTACTTAGCTCATAGAAAACAAAAAATGAAATATGTGTAAGATGCTTTGCACGTAATTTCTGATGCATAATACATAATACATAATTGGCTATTTTTTACCTCTTGTTTAAATAGAAGGAAAACATAAGGGCAGCTTGCCATGTTCCCAAGCAGCATCTGAGTTTATGTAGAGATTATCTCATATCAAATGTTATTTCTCTTTAGTGTTACAATTGTGGACCAACTTCTTACTTCACGTGTTATGTGCATAACTAAATTTTATCAATGGGCTCTTGAACATCAGAGTCTTTTTCTGGATATAGAAAACCAAACTCAAGTTTACTTTAACCCTTTAACCTTTACCTAGCTTTTTATAGGATAATCAAAAGCACAGATATTACACTGGAGCAAATCTCACATTGCAAACTGTACAATGCTAATTCTAATTCTAATTCTTCCTTTTTTTTTTTTTTAATTACAAATCAGGCACAAGTAAGCCAGCAAATTATTTTGGTTGTAAGCAGAAGAACCTGCAAAAGCAAAACCTATTCACATCAATTGATTTAAATAAAATGGATAAAAAACAAACAAATCAAACCAAACCTATCACCATCAAGTTAATGCTGACTCATAGCTACCCTGTGTAGGGTTTCTGGGGCTGTATATTTTCTCCTCTTTGTGCCTTGGAGCAGCTGGTGGATTCAAACTGCTAATCTTGTCCAATGTGCAACCCAGTGTCCCACCAGGACTTCAGATACTGCTGCTGCTGTGTACTGTTGAGGCCGTTCCAACTCATAATGACTTTATAGAGCACTTCCATCTTTACGGGAGATGAAAGCAAGATAGAGGATTTCAATGAAAACAAACTAAAAGACATTTTGACCTGTTCAGTTTCTGTGGTTGTTAAAAATTTTGTTAGGTGGCATGTTGCTAGAATTAGAGCATGCTAAAAGGTTGGCTGTATAAATTACAACCAAACCCAAAACCACTGCTGTCCACCTGAATCCAGATAGGACAGAAGTGATCTGCTCCATACCACTGCACCACCAGGATTCCTTGTTGTATATGTTGTATTAAGACCTATTAAGTTAGTTCTGATTCATAAATGAAACACTGCCCCATCCTCACAATCATTACGTTTGAGCCCATTGTTACTGCCTTTGTATCAGTCTATCTTTTGGGCCTCTTTCTCTTTTTCACTGACCCTCCACTTTACCAAGCATGATGTCCTTTTCCAGAAACTGGTCCCTCGAGTCTAAGTCTCGCCATCCTTGATTCTAAGGAGTTGTACTTCTTCCAAGACAGACTTTTTTTTTTTTTTGCTCTTCTGGGAGTCCATGATACTTTTAATATTCTTCTCTAACATATTCAAATGAATAGATTCTTCTATGATCTTCCTTATTCATTGTCTAATTTACACATGCATATGAGGCTATTGAAAATACCATGATTTGTGTCAGACTCACCTTATTCCTCAAACTGATAGCTTTGCTCTTGAACACTCAAAAGAGATCTTGTGCAGCAGATTTGCCTAATGAAATCATCATGTGATTTCTTGACTGCTGCTTCCATGAGTGTTGATTGTGGATTCAAGCAAAATGAAGTCTTTAACAACGTCAATCTTATCTGCATTTATCAGGATGTTATGTATTGATCTAGTGAAGATTTTTTTAACATTGAGGTGCAATTAATACTGAAGGCTGTAGTCTGATCTTCATCAGCATTTTAAATCCTCTTTGCTTCTAGCAAGCAAGGTTGTATCACGTACATATCACAGGGTATTAATGTGTCTTCCTCCAATCCTGATGTCACGTTTTTCTTCATAAAACCCAGTTTCTTGGATTATTTGCTCAGCATAGAGATTGAATAAGCATATTGAAAGGATACAGTCCTGACACACACCTTTCTTGATTTCACACCATTCAGTGTCCCCTTGTCGTGTTCACACAACTGCCTCTTGGTCTATATACTGGTTCCTTATGAGCACAGTGAAATGTTCTGGAATCCCTATTCTTCACAATATTATCATAGCTTGTTATGATCCATACAATAGAAAGCCTTTGCATAGTCAATAAGACACAAGTAAGCATCTTTCTGGTATTCTCTGCTTTTATCCAAGATCCATTTGATTTCATCAGTGATATTCTACCTTCTATGTCCTCTTCTAAATCTGACTTGAATTTCTGGTAGTTTTCAGTCAATGTACTATTGCAACAGTTCAAGGTATTACTTGTATGTGAGATTAATCATATTGTTCACTGATTTCCCTACTCCCTTGGGTCACCTCTTTTGGGAATGGGCACGGTTATGGATCTCTTCCAGTTGGTTGGCTCAGTAGTTGTCTTCCAAATTTCTTGGCATAGATAAGTAAGCACCTCCAGGGACGCATCCACTTTGTCAAAAATTTTAGTTTGTATTCTTTAGATTCCTAGAGCTTTGTTTTTCTCCAATGGCTTCAGTGCAGCTTAAACTACTTGCTTCAGTACCATTTGTTCTGAAATGGTTGAAATTGGCCATTTCTCTTTGGCACAACAAAAGTGTATTCCTGCCATCTCCATTTAATGTTTTATATACTGGAAGTTGAGCCTTGATTTTTTTCTTCAGTTCCTTTAGCTTGAGAAATACTGAGTGTGTTCTTCCCTTTTGGTTTTCTAACTCCTAGTCTTTGCAAATTTCATTATAATACTTGACTTTGTCTTCTTGAGCTGTTCTTTGAAATGTTCTGGTTGGCTCCTTCATTTTCTTTTTTATCCCAGTTGTTTTAGTTTCTCTGTACTCAGAAACAAATTTCAGAATCTCTTCTGACATCCATTTTGGTCTTTTCTTTCTTTCCTGTTCTTTTAATGACCCTTTGCTTTCTTCCTCTAAGATGCTCTTGATGTCATCCACAACTTTTCTGATCTTCAGGCATTAGGGTCTAATAAATTTGTTTTTGAGATGGTTTATAAATTCAAGTGGGATATATTCAAGGTCATATTTTGGATTTCTTGGACTTGTTTTAGTTTTCTTCAGCGTTAGCCTGAGCTTTCATTTGAGCAATTGATGGTCTGTTCTCCAGTCAGATCCTGTCTTTGTTTTGGCTGAGTATACTGAGTTTCTCCATTATGTCCTCCCACAGACTCTGTCAATTTGATTCCTGTGTATTCTATCTGGTGAGGCCCATGTGTATAGTCACTGTCGATGTTGTTTAAATAATGGTATTTGCAGTGAATAAGTTGTTGGTCTTGCAAAATTCTATCAAGCCATTTCAAGCAAAGTTTCTATGACCAAGGTCATATATTCCAACTACTGATCCTTCCGATGTTTCCAACTTTTGAATTCCAGTCAGTAGTAGTTATTAATGCATCTTGTTTGCATGTTAGTCTGAAATTAAGCAAAAGAAGTTGGTGGGATTCTTCAATTTCATCATCAGTGATTTTAGTGTTTGGTGCATAAATTTGAACCAGTCTTCCTTGTAGGTATATGGATAGTATGTTATCACAGACAGCATTGCGCTTCAAGATTGATCTGACATTTTCTTTTTGATGAAGAATGAGATGCCATCTCATGAATGAGATGCCAAATTTCTCTTCAATTTGACTTTCTCTGCACGTATAGTAAACCATGTGATTATCTGATTCAAAAAGGTCAATATCAGTCCATTTCAGCTCACTAATGCCTAGTAGAGGAGATCTGGTAGTGTAATGGTTAGGAGTTAGGCTGCTAACCTCATAGTCAGCAGTTCGAAACTACCAGTGGCTGTGAAGGGGGAAGATGAGGCTTTCTGCTTCTGTAAAGATTTACATCCTTGGTAATCTCATACAAGGTTGCTATGAGTCAGAACTGCCTAGTATATCAATCTATGTGTTCCATTCCACTTTTGAAAGCTTTCCATTTCCTAGATTCATACTTTGCACATTCCATATTCCAATTACTAACTGATGTTTGCAGTTTTTATTTTTCTCCATTAGCAAATGAAGAAGGTCTAGACAGCTTTGCTCCATTCATGTTACAATGGCCAACTCTACTTTGAAGAGGCAGTTCTTTCTACTCCAGTGATATTAAAGTGCCTTCTTACCTGACTGGCTCCTCTTCTGGTACTGTATCTGACAGTGTTGTCCTTGTATTCTTAGGTTTCAGTGGCTAGCCATTCAGAAGTGGTCTACTACCTCTCCTTCTTACTAGTCTATCTTAGTCTGGAAGTCTCACTGAAACCTGTCCACTAAGGGTGACCCTGCTGTTACTTAAAATATTGGTG